TGATGGCTTTTGATTAGTTGTGTTAAATTCTCCTTATGTATTTCAATTGAGTATCGCTATGTTTTTTATTCGCTTTGGTTGAATGTAACAATAAATCTTGTGGTATTTTGGAGTTGATTTCAATATGGGTTAATTTTGTTCTTGATATTCTTTTTTTATTCAAACAATGTTCTTCTTTGTGATCCTTATTTTTATCTTACAGTTAATTACAAAGATGTAATTAGACGCTTTAAAAGATAACTAAAACATTTATAACCTAATTTTGATGTTGAATCTCTGTTAGATATACTTCCTTTAAAGTTGGGGACAATTGATCTCAGTTATTTGTAACAGTTTTATAAAGTCTTTAAACAGTTTTATAATCTAACTTATATAATATGATCTCAGTTATTTGTAACAATTTTATTTTTCAGTTATAGACTTATTAGTAGTAGTGGTAAAGTTAATTTTGTGATCGATAGACTTATTGATGATGGTTCGCGCAATGGTAGACTTATTTATAGTGGTGGTAGATTTATAAAATGTGGTACACTTATTCGTAGTGGTGGTAGAGTTAATTTTCTGATCGGTAGACTTATTTCTAGTGGTGATAGAGTTAATTTTGTGATCGGTAGATTTATTGATAGTTCACGAAATCGTAGACTTATTTACAGTAGTGGTAGATTTATTTTTGAGTGATATACTTATTAGTAGTTGTAGTAGAGTTATTTTGTGATCGGTAGACTTTTAATGGTTCGCGCAATCGTAGACTTATTTCTACTAGTGGTAGAGTTATAATATGTGGTAAACTTATTTATTATAGTGGTAGATTTATTCAATCTTTTCAATTCTTTAGTAAAACAACCTTCAGTTGGTAAACTTATTTATAGTAGTGGTAGATTTATTTATAGTAGTGGTAGATTTATAATATGTGGTAGACTTATTTATTGTAGTGGTAGATTTATTCAATCTTTTCACTTATTTACTAAAATAACCTTCAGTTGGTAGAATTGTTTATAATAGTGATAGATTTATTTATAGTAGTGGTAGATTTATAATATGTGGTAGACTTATTTATAGTAATGGTAAATTTATTCAATAAAGGGTAAAATCATAATTTACCCTTCATCTTCTCCACAAGACCAAACTTCTCTCAAATCCTAACAATGACCGCCAGCCACTTTTTAGCTCGATTTTACTGTATTTTAAATCGTTTTCAACTGGATTTTGCCTAAAACTAGTAGATCTAACATCATATATCCCTTTTATAACAAAAAAAAAAATCAAAAGATTTTTAGTTTTTTTTTTCAACTTTTGATTTTTAATCCGATTTTTACCTAAATCCCGGTGCTTCCGCAGCCTCTACAACTCTGTCGAACGCGTATTCGGTGCTTCCGCAGCCTCTGCGGCCGCAGTTTCAAACAAATCTCTGAATATTTTTTTTTTTAATTCTGAACGGTATTTTCGTAATAAAAAGTTTTTACTAAGGTTTATATGTCTTTTAGAACCTTTATTCAGTATTAAGATTAAATAAAAATTGTTTTAGTAATTAAGATACTTTCCAAAATTTTTTTAGTAATTATCTCATTAAATTATTAAAGTCATTATATAAAACTTTGAGTTTTTTCAGTTACTAATCTGATATATTGTACATATGTTTTTGGTAAACATATGTTTATTTTGTTTTATAGATGTACATGTAAGCAAACTGCATTAATGTTGACTAACCCTGTTTAAATCAATTTGAAAATGTCGTTTTTGACACAAGAGAGATTAGTTAATGTTGGAAATTTGAATTAAATTTAGTTCGAGTTAAACTAAAATTGTTAGAATTCATATAAAAATGAGCACGTCAAAAAATAAAAGCAGTTTTCCCATATATTAACATATACCGTTATANTGCAAATTTGAATTCGGGTTCGAAAGAGATGTCAGTATGATAGGTTCCAATGAAGAGATCGACCAATGTTATCAAGAATAAAAACCGAACAAAAGTTTACTTCAATTTTCTCTTCTTCCTTTTTCATTGATCCATCGTCAAGTCATTAAATAGGAAACAAATGGAAGTTAGCCTATAATTTAGGAAGTGGCAAGAGTGGAGAAGATACTCCTAATTTAGAGAAATAAAAAAAGGTAAAAGACTATAATTATAATTAAATATAATTAGAGTTTTGTTCTCCATCAA